TGTGTGTGTGGGGGGGGGGTGAGAACGGCCCACCTCACCCTACCGAAACATTCATCCTCGCTCAGTAACTCACTCAAAAAGTACTTTTGTTTGTTTACGGGGTAGTGAGTTCATTCGGACTGGATGGGATTTAGACAGACCCGGCTCCATCGGTGACATTTCACGGTGGAAACATCAATCATCTTGTGGGATTTCCAAATGAGTGCAATTGGTTGGTTTCACTTGAAGGCGTATGCCGAAGCAGCTGCTACTGCAGCCAAGAAAGCAGTAGGAAATTGCAAATCAAACTCAGAAGGGGACCGTGTGTTAGCTACTTCCACTCCCATTCACGAGCTACATATACCACAGCGCAAAGATGTGATTTCAAGCTGAATTCGAAAAATTCTCAGGCGGACTATAAGAAGCCTATCCATAAGCTGCAAGGCCCCACCAATTGCTCCATTTATAGCAACCAGGAGCTAGAAAACAAGGTAAGGGTCCTCGAAAGACAAGTTAATGACATGGAAATGAATGCCTCCGTAGACTCCTTGTCATGAACCGGGAAAACCTCTCATTAGGTAGTCTAAGGCCCGAGGGGACATGGATAGACCGTGTGTTCGACCTGCTGCTGATGGCATGGATCCCACTCTTCGTGTCTCTTAAGCGGGCCCACCGAGTTGGTGTATTGAAACTCCAGCTCGGGAAATCCGGGACGCCTATGGAGCGGCCAATCTTCGTCGAGTTTCATAGTGAGGCCGTTAGGGATAAAGTGTTAGCCAAGGCAGTAGCAATAGCCCAGATATTGAAGGGCAGGTATGGCATCATTCCGGATGAGACATCGAGAACTATGCCTAGAAAACCCAGAATAGGAAACCAAGACAGTACTCTGGGTCATAAAGACAGCGAGGCCCATCGCAGGAAGGTTGGTATGCCCGGAAGAATTCCACAATCTGTGGTGCGCCAACCGGTCACGACCACTCCGAAGAGAGTAGTTGTTGTAGAAGACTTATTGGAGTACGATATCTGGGTAAGCTGTGACCAACCAGAAGACGACCTGGTTGGAAACAACAACAAAGAATTGAGGGGTGTAGTTCTAGCAACCCCCATTAGAAGAAACTTAGACGCCACAATCCGTCGGAGATCTCAGTCAACACCGCCTTTGATTACAAAAAACTCCGCGTCCCCTCGGGTTTAGTTCCCGAGGCATCGAAACACCTTCGTATTATGGGAAACGAAAGAAGGGGAACCGGAGAAATGGTGTTATACACCAATAGGTGCAGTATATGTAACTAATGGATGGAGCTCTTTAAGGTGGCCGATGAATGCAGTGCAGGTGTAGTTGCGGTCACCGAAACTTGGTTATATAGAATAGAACACGTACCCCGAGTCTTTAAAGAGCGCTATGCAATTTACAGGCAAGATAGAGAGCATGACCGTCTCGGGGGGGGGGGGGNAGCCATATTCATTAGGGAGGGCGTAAGCCACCTCGAATCTCAGGTCAGGGTATGCACCAAGAATTTTCAACTACGCACTGTCACACTGATCCTTCCGAAGAGTAAGATTAACGTGACATGCATTTACCGGTCCCCTAATTCGAGTGGTGAACAGGATATTAAACTCCTTCGAGTCCTTACAGACCTAGAGAAGGAATCCGGCAAGACTATGATAGTGGGTGATTTCAACATGCCAAATATAGATTGGGATTTTGAAACGAGCCCATCAGGTACAGAGGAATAGGCATTCCTGGAGTGGCTTCATAATAAAACAATGAGGCAAAACGTAAAAGAAAACACCAGATACAGGACGAGCTGCCTTCCCTCACTACTGGATCTGGTGATTACGAAGCACCATACGAATGTCATAGAATTGAAGTTACTTCCACCGTTGGGTAAAAGTGATCATGTATGCATGAAACTTACATTCTGCATGCAGCATCCGCAAGCTACTACTAAAATGGCTAGAAACTTTGGAGCCATGAACATAAATCTCCTCCGTAGCAGAGCGGCCCAACTATCCTGGGATGACAAAGTAACGAGTATCGATGACTGAGGGTCAGCGTGGCAAAGAATACTAGCAAAGGCTTCAGGACCTGAGGCTATTTTATTTAGAAAAAAGAAGGTTCAGGGGAGATATGATAGAAACCTTTAAGACAGTGAAAGGTTTGTCTGGTATAAGACCAGAAACCCTGTTCCAGGAAGCACAAAATTCCCGTACAAGGGGTCAAAAAATTAAGCTAGCCAAGGCCCGGTCTCGATTGATTGTCCGGTCACACTTCTTTAGCACCAGGGTAGTCAACATTTGGAACAGGCTACCTGTGGAGCTAGTAGAACTGCAAACTGTGCTGGCAAACAAGACGGTCCTAGAAGAACGGTGGTCTGAACTTGTTCCTGAAGTGGAGGTTTGAACATCTATCTAGCGGCTTAAGAAAACCCTTAGTAGAAGCGGCACACTCAGGTTGCATGTTCATTGTTTCGTTCTGCCATTTATTGGGATGTAGCTTGGAAGACGAACGCTCACGAATAACAATCTCTCGCCTTGGAAGTGAGATGAGGTATCTTTCCCTTTTCTTCCCCTTTTCAGCCAGGAAGTTACGGACTACTTTTCGCAGTGTTGGGTGTCATACTTGACCGCATACCACCGAAGGAATTCAGGATGCTCGATTGGCCGTGGCCACTTTCGGTCCTGTGCAAACTGAACTGAACTGAAGTTGAAAGTGTATAGTTAGGTTTAACCACGTGTGTGTGTGATCCACATTATTGGTTACAACCAATCACGTAGACCGACTTCAGCCATCGCACGTCACTTGGTTGAAAGCGGTCACCTTGCGGTTTTGTTACGTTATCGAGACAAACACCGACTAAAGCTACTTGAGGCATTGTGGATCGCCCGCAACAAACCTACGCGGTGTGACCTTTACCCTTGAACTTCCCTGATCGTAGCCAATCATGTGTATCACATACAGTACATCATCACGCATACACGGTTAAACTAACGAGATTTCGTAATTCGCTTCATTTTTCTATTTTGTTCAATTTTATACGTACGCGACCGATGAGAGTATACGAAAGGAATTCCTCTTGCAGTGTTTGTCTTCTGACTTGCCTGTACAGAATGTCTAGTTTTTCACCATAACCGGGTTTCCATAAAACTGAAAGTTTGATTTACACCACTTCAGCGTGCGTCCCCTCTCCTTTCGAAATCGATATTGTCGGGAACTTGGTAGAGTCCACATACTTGCAAAACAGTTATTTTGCACCTAAAAACGTGCACTTTTTACGTGAACTCATTTTTTTGTTTCTGTGGAATGACGTACAAGTGCAGCATATTTGGGCGTTTGTCCGAAAATGTTCACAAATCCCATAGGGCTAGGTTGACCTGGTTTAAACCAAGCCCACAATCAGTGTAGTTCTCTAACACAACAATTCAAATCGAATCGCTCTGATTTATATGACTTTGTTATTACACCCCAAACGAAGTTCGTAATTATCGATCAACAGGAATTCAAATCTGTGCCTTGACCATATCGAAAATGATCGGAATCCACAAGTACATTCCTCGCGAAATTCATCAGAGGTGTTCACAGAGTCATCTGTTTCACCATAGTCATAATTCTAACCACTTGTAAAACCCTCCCATTCGCCCCCCACCTCCATCTCTCACACGACTCACATCTTGCTCGGCTACATTCAGAGGTTAAGCAACATCCGGTAAATGTGATACAACAAATGCTGTTTTCGGTATTTGATGGCCAGCTTGCTCGTCATTTTGTGTTATTCTTTTCAATATGTGAATATAGTGTGCTTGACCAGTTGAAATGGGTTTTATTTTTGCCTAAGCACACTGTAAACATTCGGGATTCAAATGTATCATTTTGAAGTTGTTTGGCTTCAGAACGCAGTTCACAAGCTCTTGGAAAACATGACATCAAATGAAAATTACGTTTGCGGTGATACTGATACAAAATCCGTTTTTTTCCACCCGTACAAGTTTCTGGCGTCACTTGATTGTGAGAACATGGAAATGTACTTTTTATCCTACCACGAGGACACGTAAGAGGATCGCAAAGTTGCAAGCCATTTTCCCATTTGCCTCGGTAGGTAGATTGAATAACGGAATCTAAGATAGACGAAACGATATACTGTTACCATTTCCCGCCCACTTTATTAAGAGAACGTAATCACTTTAGTAGTAAACCGTTTAGCGGATCACTCCGGCTTCGCTTGGTCTGTTACATTCCAAACTGTTCATAAAGCTTCAAACCTATACACTACACTACGAATAACCTCTTATGCTTGATTTCATAGGTTTTGTTCAAAATATAGCACGTAATGTTGCAGCGATTTGCGCATCGTAAAGAGTAATGTGAAATGAATAGCTAAAAAGTGGCATCTCACCTTTCACTTGGTCATCAGGTATTCCGTCTCCGTCCGCATCACTGTCTAAATAGTCAGGGATACCGTCTCCATCACTGTCCTCTTGATCATCTGGGATTCCATCCCCGTCAGAATCCAGTTTGGACAGTACATTGACCCGTTTCTGGGGCTTTAGCGGTTTCGACGGTTTCGTTTGTGTTGGTTTCAAGGTTTGTTTTTTATCGGTCAACTTGACTTTCGATTTCCCTTTGGATTTACGGAATTTTGCATGCGGATCGTCATCATCCAGATAGTCAGGAATTCCATCTTTGTCTGTGTCCTGTATATAGTCTAGCACACCATCACCATCGGAATCACCTTCCAAATGATCAGGAATACCATTCTGATTTGCATCATTCGGTACTTTTCGTTTGGTCCGTTCTTTTTTGGTTTTCTTTGCACGATTATCCTTTTTATCGAGAAAATCGGCTATTCCATCGCCATCTTCATCATCGAGATAGTTTGGTATACCATCAGCATCCCAATCTTCTAAGTAGTCCGGAATACCATTTTTGTTACTGTCTGCTTCAAATCCTTCCAGCACAGCTTCAACCTTGACATCAACAACATCTTTGTCCAGGTAGTTAGGAATGCCATCTCCGTCGGAGTCTTCCAAATAGTCAGGAACTCCGTCTCCGTCGGAATCCTCCAAATAGTCGGGAATGCCGTCTCCATCAGAATCTCCTTCCAAACTATCGGGTATGCCATCTTTGTTCTTATCGGTGAAGTGCTTCGGTGAGAACTGACTGTTTGCATCTTCATCCAAATAGTCAGGCACACCGTCCCCGTCAGAGTCTTCTAGATAGTCCGGTGTTCCATCACCATCACTATCCTCCAAAAAGTCCAAGATTCCATCTCCATCAGAATCTCCTTGCAAATGATCCGGAATGCCATCACCATCATTGTCCTCGAATTGTGTCTTAAGCATAAGTTTTCGATAGTTCCGTTGTGAGAACTGTGAGACTGCATCATCGTCAATATAGTCTGGTATTCCATCCCCGTCAGAATCTTCTAAATAATCTGGAATACCGTCACCATCGGTGTCCTCTAAATAGTCTGGTATCCCGTCTCCATCACTGTCCCCTTCTAAGTGATCCGGAATACCGTCTCCATCGACATCCGCGTAATGTCTTTGAGGTCGGAATTTCCGCAGAACCCTGGGTGCAAATTTCGTAGTGGCATCTTCGTCCAAATAATCCGGGATTCCATCACCATCGGAATCTTCCAAATAGTCTGGAATGGAATCTCCGTCAGAGTCTTCCAAGTAATCTAAAAT